AAGAACTAGATACCACACACTGTTTCCTAACAGATGGAAAATCCTTATGTTTTCACTTAACATCCCTCTACTAAGCAGCTCTCTGGGAGCTGTCTCCCTTGTCCCATTAGTATGTTAAAGCAGCCAGATCCCTGAAACATAAATGATAAAAGTGGATTTCATATTTGACATTTTAAGTTACCAGGCATTTTTCCTTTATGGCTTAATCATTGAGATTTTTGAAGATAATATGTACAGGAGGGGAAAGATTTTTATTTCAGAGACTGGAAAAAAGCAACACAGCATTTTAGTAGATTGCATAAAAATGGAGCAATAGTTAATTTTTATAATTTTTTACTTTAGCTATTAAAGACTTCTTTTTTTATAACTACATTTTAATAGCTTTTAATCTAACCATAATAATAAATACTAGTTCCTTTGCCCAGGGTTTGGAAATAATCAGAAAGAGTTCTCAGGCAAATTTGGCTTTTAAAATATTTCATCCTGTTGTATTTTGTTGATTTCTTGGGAACTGGTATAGGGAAAAGAAGAATAAAAAATAAGATTCATTTATTTCTTATTTGCTAGAAAAAAAGCTGCTATTCATATCAAACACACTCTTGGACTACAGGGCAATTAAAAAGAAATCAATACTAAGAAAAAAAAGCTGCTATTGTTTTCTTCACTGGCAGAAGCAGTGTGTAAGTGGCAACTCATGACTCTAATGATGCATCATCCCTAGGCAGATTATTTATAATACATATGTAAAGTCAGTATCACTAGTGACATCTATATGTATTTAACCCTGAATCTTCAATCTCTTTTATCTTTTGAGGAAACCTATTCTTGGTTTACTTGATACCTAGACTAGTTTGGTATAGTATTGAACAATTCTACATCAGTTTGTCTCCACTGTGACTATTTTAACTAGCTCAGTTTTAAGCCTTGTTTAGAAATGGTAATTCCTCTTTCTAAATCTAATTTTATGTCCAAATGTTTTTGGTACAGCCTGGCCAAATTCAGGTCCCCATCTAACTTACTTTTGTATTTATTCAAAGACTGAAAGAAGGCCACAAGGATGCAGCATGAATGAAGGGTGGACTAGTATGAGATGAGACAGGATGGCGGGGTAGGGGGATCAGATCATATATAGCTATATGAAGGCCATGATAAGGAGGTCAAATTTTATTCTCAGAGAAGCCATTTAAATTACAATGACACGATGTGATATTTCATTTTTAAAAGATCACTGTAGCTGCTGAAAACTACATGGGGCAGGAATAGATGGGAGACCAGAGAGGAAGCTCTTAGCATAATCTAGAAGATTAGACCAGAGTAATCAGGCGATGGAGAGAAGGGGAAAGATTCAGAATATGTTTTGCAAATAAAAGGTTCCAGGATCTGGTGACAGATTATACGAAGGCTCTAAGGAAAAGAAGCATCAAAGATATGCCTAGGCCTGATACTCAGTTCATGCCACTGCCTTGGCTGCCTAGGTCTTTGTGTGAGTCTTGTTATGAAGGGCCAGTGCTTTTCTGTATCTGATGAGCCAAAGTTTTGGGCTTGAAATGGGGAAAAATCATGGATGAACAAGTTTAGAGAGGAGACAATCTAAGTTCTGTCTGGCTACATGTTTTAACATTCCCAGACTGATGAGATTTACTTTAAAAGTACCTTCATGAAATTTTTCTGAAACTTTATTCTACAGCAGTGCCAAAAACATTCCAGACAAAAGTGGTCCTCTATTGTTTCATGTAACAGACGTGAATCTGATTTCTTCCACAACTTTTGACATCTTATCCAATAGTGAATTAGCAAAGTTTTGTTAGCCTGCAGGGGTTTCTATGAGGGTTTCTCACCTCAGCACCACTGACATTTAGATGGGATACTTTGGTTTAGGGGGCTGTTCAGTACATTATAGGATGTTTCGCACCATCCCTGGTCCACAAGATGCCAGCCGCAACTCTCAGTTATGAAAGCCGAAAATGTCTCCAGATAACACCAAATGTCCTTGGGGAGCAAAATCATCCCCAGTTTAGAACCAAACTAAGCAACAGAATTTTCTAGCATGGTGCTAATAGTAACAAAACTAACACTTATTAAGCACTTGTTATAGCCCTTTTATCTTATACTACCAGAGCCAGTAGGTAATGTTTAAAATCTTATACATCATAAAAATAGATAAATGCCTTTAATTTCTATTTTAAATGTAATTATAAATCCAATCAACAATTGATGTTGGACCACAGCCTTTTGAGTATGAATCCACTGGCTGGATTTCCAAATTGCCATGGTACATGAAGCATTTTCTACCATTTTTAGTTTCAAGTATTTTAAAATGGGGTAAAACTGGATTCTGCTTTCATCCTTGCTTTTTACATTTGTCCAGTCTTTTAGTTTTCTTACCCATACCCAGTTTAACTGCTTTTTGGCTGGCGATGGGTTGAGGGGAACAACTAGCTTTTTTTTTTTAAGTGTTTCTAATGCATTCAACCTAGCTTTCAAATAAAACCAGAAGTCTTTTACACTCACAGTTTATTGACTGCTGAATATTTAACTAAATTACATAATTACCCTAAGTAAAACAAAACAGATTCAATGACCACTGCCACTAGCCTTTGGTAAGCATGCAGCTGATCATCTGGTGGGACAAAAGCATAAGGTTGGTTAGAGAATAGCCTCCTAGCAACAGTCTTCTACCATGTGATAAGCAAGTATGCCTATCAGCTAGTTTCACTAGGCAAAAACTGGTTAAGAGTTACTGTATGTGTGAAACACCATGTAAATTACTCTACCTGCATTATCTCTTTTAATCTTCACAACAACCCTAATACATAATTAATATTTGTGTTTTGCCTTTGAGAAAACTGAAACATAAAGATAAGTGTTTTACAGAAGGTTACATAGCTAATAAATAAAAGGACCAGGATGGGAACCCCAGGCATTCTAATAGGTGCTTTACCATGTCATCACAAGTCCAAGGCCATAAAGGTTAATTTTCTACAGAGCACTAAGCTCCAGTTTGGTCCATGATCACAAACTGTACCTTGGAATCTTGACCTGTCATCTTCAAAGTAAGTGCTATGGCAATAAAATATGGGATATTAATATAAATCTACTACTTGGAACAATTCAAAGGACTGATAAGAAAGCTCAGTGACTCCAAAGCATCAAGTCCATACATTTAAAGATAACCCAGACAAATATATCTGTATTAGTTTCCTATTTCTTTGATAACAAATCATCACAAGCTTAGTGCCCTAAAACAACAAAAATATATTATCTATAGCTTATAAGTTTGACATAGGTCTCACGGGGCCAAAACCAAGGTGTCAGCAGGACTGTGTTCCTTTCTGGAGCCTCCAGGGAAGAATCCATTTTCTTACCTTTTCTAGCTTCTGGAGGGCACTCACATTCCTTGACTTGTGACCCTTCTTCCCCCTATCTTCAAAGCCAGTAGCTGCATCTCCCTGACCATTCATCTGTAGCCACCTCGCCCCGACTCTGAACTTTCCTGCCTCCTTCTTCCACTTTTCAAAACCCTTGTGATCACATTGAGCTCACATGGATAATACAGGCTGATATCCCTACCTCAATAAAATGAGCCTTGGAGCCTTGGCACAGCTTTGAGCCACAGTCAGTTCCTGTTCAGCTACATTAACTGTTTTGTTTTTAGTAGGCATTTTCACAAGGTGATGTGACTCAAAGTTTGATTTGTATGAGAAATCAGTCATGACTGAATTGCATAACTGTCCCCAAAGTCCATGTAAATGGATTTATGTAATTATAAATAAAAATAATAATTACAGCTATATTAGAGGACCTTTAGTCTTGTAATAGTTGAGTCTAGTAAGTCTCACCAAATTCCACACACAAAGTTCTAACATATGTATACATGCCTTTGTTACAGAATGTAATTTAAATACTATAGTAACCAAATTCAAGGTAATGGACAAAAATTAATTTTCATTAAAGCTTTCTATTTTGGGCTCCTCCTGAATGTGCTGCTTTAAATGACTAGGACATTAAAGTGATTGTTTCAGAAGAACTATCAGCACCTTTTTTATGTGTCATGTTCATCCAGACTATCCATCCAGATAATGATATGTCTTCCAAGGTTGTTACCCCTCCATGTGGGATAGGCAATGAATTTAACTGTCTTTTGTTCCCTAAAAGTTTTATAAGTTTTTATCCAACATATGCATGTAGTGGAAAAAAACTCACAAAAGTGCTTTCAAGCACTCACAGTGGTGTCTAAGCCACTATTAACTGAAAAAGCTGCTGTATTTAAAAAACTGCTAGCTCCTTTAAAGACTTAGAAAACTACACTGAAACTCCAAAAAGAGCTATGAATAAATTTCTATGATTATAAAACTGATAAATTCTACAGTAAGACAATTAAAATGGCAATATTAATAGTATACCCTTTATTGAATACCTATGTGTCTGGCCCTTTGCTCGTATCATCTCATTTCATCCTTATAACCTGTAAGGTAAGTTAATCTTTTTACTGATAAAGAACTGGATGGCAAAGGCTAAGCAACTTGCCAAGCACCGCAGAACGTGGTAAATGCTGGAGATTTGAAGCCCAGTGTGACTCATTTCGAATCTGTTTTTATTTGCTAATATAGTTAAACATTTGAGTATGTTCTCATGTTTCCATTTTTATTTAAGACTGAGTTTGAAAATTTTAGTAGTGAAATTTTTCTGGCATTAAATATTTCAAAACTAGCATTTGGTTAGGTAAAACACTGATGTAATTATGATTCTTATTAAAATATTTTGCAAAGATAATCAAGGTAAACAAATTTGTCATCCATTTTAAACTATCTAGTTTAGGTAAAATGTGAATTACTTAAATTGAAACTTCAGGTCCTACAACTTGGATAAGCAGATCCTTGAGTCTGATGCAAAAGGCATCATTCAAAGATAAATACATCAAAAGGCAGTAACTGACTGAGGACTAACTTGAAAAGTTTGAAAGGCAAAAAAATAGTTCTCTACGTATTTTCTGTTTTCAGGAGATGAGTATGATGTATGTGCCATTTGTTTGGATGAGTATGAAGATGGAGACAAACTCAGAATCCTTCCCTGTTCCCATGGTATGAGTAATTACATACTGATTTGAATTTACATGTAGTAATTTATATTTAGGTTCCATATTCCAGGGGAAGAGACGGAAAATAGTTACTGGCACACCGTAAGCCAGGCCCTGTACTAATTAGTGGTCTCATTCAAGGATGGAGGTATATTTATAAAAATGTATAAACTTTCAGGCCAGGTACAGTGGCTCACGCCCATAATCCCAGCACTTTGGGAGGCCGAGGCAGGCGGATCACAAGGTCAGGGGATCGAGACCATCCTGGCTATCAGTGAAACCCGGTCTCTACTAAAAATACAAAAAATTAGCTGGGCGTGGTGGCGGGCACCTGTAGTCCCAGCTACTCGGGAGGCTGAGGCAGGAGAATGGCATGAACCTGGGAGGCGGAGCTTGCAGTGAACGGAGATCGCACCACTGCACTCCAGCCTGGGCGACAGAGCCAGACTCTGTCTCAAAAAAAAAAAAAAATTTATAAACTTTCTTCCCGTCCCTACATGATACATACAGAACACTGAATATGGCAAGAGATTAAATATAAAAGTATCAACCACAGCATACTAAAGATGTATATTTTGCTTCAACAGCTTATCACTGCAAGTGTGTGGACCCTTGGCTAACTAAAACCAAAAAAACCTGTCCAGTGTGCAAGCAAAAAGTTGTTCCTTCTCAAGGTGATTCAGACTCTGACACAGATAGTAGTCAAGAAGAAAATGAAGTGACAGAACATACCCCTTTACTTAGACCTTTAGCTTCTGTCAGTGCCCAGTCATTTGGGGCTTTGTCGGAATCCCGCTCACATCAGAACATGACAGAATCTTCAGACTATGAGGAAGATGACAATGAAGATACCGACAGTAGTGATGCAGAAAATGAAATTAATGAACATGATGTCGTGGTCCAGCTGCAGCCTAATGGTGAACGGGATTACAACATAGCAAATACTGTTTGACTTTCAGAAGATGGTTTATTTCCCTTTAAAATGTTTAGGTAATATACTGTAATTTGATTTTTTTGCTCCCTTCAAAGATTTCTGTAGAAATAACTTATTTTTAGTATTCTACAGTTTAATCAAATTACTGAAACAGGACTTTTGATCTGGTATTTATCTGCAAGAGTGTACTTCATTCACTAATAATAGACTGGTGCTGTAACTCAAGCATCAATTCAGCTCTTCTTTTGGAATTAAAGTATAGCCAAAACATTAAAAAAAAAAAAATCCTCAGTATAGCTTGCAATTAAGACCTAGATCACAGTATTTAAATGTTTTGTGTTTTATACATGAGGTCAGTGCGACAGCCACCTAGCATGAACTAACCCAGCTTCCACCTCCATAAAGTTACCTAGAGTTGTTGAGTTGGAGTATGTTCTGGCATTTACCTGACCTGCCAATCATTAGGGAGAGGCAACAAGGTAACTCAGCCTTTCCTCCTCCTATCAGCACAAAGAAACTCAAAGCTGTATTTTCCCTTTCTGTTCCAAAGCAGTCTTATCCTGACAGGAGCGGTCTATACTAGTGCAGATTTCAACACTTTTTTTTTAATGTTTTAATTACTATAGTGTTATGTAGAGATTTGATTCAGCAGCTAATGTTTCTGAACTTTACTTATTAATTTTCAGTGTCCTTAAGGGTTTTGTGGTGTTATCAAAGCAAAAAGAAAATGCTGCATAAAAATACCAAACTTCAGCAACTGTTAATGCTCAGATCATATACCTCTTAATAAATAGCATCTTATGCTAATTAGCCCTGCTAAACTATGTACAGAGGAAATTGTTCAAGTATTGGATTTGAAAGTAAGTGACTTATGTTTAACAGAACTAATGATGTATTGAAACACTGTATTATGAAAAGCTAAATTATATACATCATTGTAACTATGTAGAAAATGTAGACTAATGTATAATCAAAATGCTAAGGATTTTTATATGGCCTTGTATGAGGGGAGTTTGAATGTTAATAAACATGTTTTCCACTTTAAGATCCAGTAAATGTCTGTTCTACCATTTACTTACCATATTAGTCTTATTTATATATATCCTATAAAGGGATAATGATTGAGGTCAGAGAAATCACATCACCCTAGAATTTTATACAAGGTAACTGACCATTCACATGCAGTTAGGTAATCTCCCAAAAGTTTAGACTGCTGCCAAAATTATTCCAAAAATAAACAGTGTACATTTTGGTACCCTGTTGTAAATTATGGTATATCGAGGGAAAATTTCACTTTCCGAATTGCCTTTTTAAAAATGTTCATAATCAGGAAAAAATAGGTATTTCTACTTTGGAAAATAAATGGTTGAATTCAACATCCGCTATCTGATACCTCATCCCTCTTCCCCTTTTTTATAAAAAATTAAAGAACCACAGGCCTGAGAAACAGGACATCAAAGGTTACCACGGTAGCTAAGCAAAGTTTGGAACTGGACATAATTGTATGGTCCTAACCGTTTTAAACCTGGTCATTTGCATAATTTTCATTTAACCTAAGTGAGGGTGTGAGGACAAAACGTTGGGCTCAGTATCTGGTGCATAGATGTGCAATAAGTAATAGTCTTCAAAATAATTATTAAATAAAAACATCAAACCTAAAATAGTATTTTAAAATAGGAAAAGGGAAAAAAATAAAAAGTCACAGTAATGGGTAAGTATGTATTAGATGTTATATTCCCTTAGTCTTTAATCCAAAGTTTAGAACAAGGACCTAGTTCCTTTATGTTAGGAGTTTTTATGGAAAAAAAAAATTTTTTTTTTGAAATTCCAAATTACTTTAATTTTATGTAAAAAAAAAAATCTACGAAGTGTCTTATTTAGCAGCACTGGCTAGGACTGTTACTAGGTTCTGTTAATGTTCACTTGAAATGTTCTGTAATTTCATGGTATAGCTTTTTGAATAGGACAGTAGGTGCAATTAAAATCCAATTTCTATTTAAAAATTTAAAATTTTCTTGATTACAAAAGTAACATTAAAACACTAGAAATCAAAATATAGTCACCTGGAAACTATACTGCCTTCAGAAATACATATGTAAAATACATGTATATTAATACTGTATGTATGTGCACTGTCATGTAACATGTTTATATTCTCATTAACATTCATTGGTAAGCATTCTCATGTCATTCTTCAATGACTATTTTGTCCTATGGACTTAAAATCATTTATTCAAACCATACCCCTTAAAAAGCTGAACCTTGTAGATGTTTTCCAAGTTTGGATGCCTTAAGTAATGCAGTGTGATGGACATTCTGGTATACAAATTTGTATAGCTTCATTTCCATATGCGAAATTCCTAGAACTAAGTACAAAGCAAAGTATAGCTGTATATATTTCCCTAAGTATTTTTCTAATGAAATTGTGGGTGGAGGGCCAATGAATAGTTTCATTATATACTATTTTAGTGATACAGTCACCCTTTACCACCTTCTACCCCCAACCTCCTCTCTGAACACACACACATACACACTGCCCCCTCACCTACTTACAGATTAATTAACAGTTTCAGAATTTTGGTCACTGCTTTCTATAATTGGTTACCCTAATAGTTCTTTACAAGTGAAGTGTGAATGTGTATTATTGTAAAATCTCAAATCATCACAACTCAACCACCAAATTTTCATTTGCCCAATCTTTTGGCCTTAACAGGTCAAGAAACTGATAGCAGGTTTTTATTATAGTTTTACAATTTCGAGGTTATGTCCAACTACCAAAATAGCCCCAGATCCTTTATCTTCCATACTTTTACATCCCTGTGTATGTACAGCCATATTCACAACCAATGCCTGACAACCAAAGAAAACTTTCACATGCATAGTATAAGCAGATTAATTCCTATTCCCTAACCCATCGTTTCTCAAAAGGTAGCATAAACACCACTTAAAATCAATCAGACTGACCCAGTGATTGTTTCTGAAAAGGGATTCCTGGGCTTATGGACTCTCCATCTCCAGGATGGAACCCCAGAGTCCATAATCTGCCTTCTAACCAGCTCCCCAGTTTTACTGAAACCCACTAACTTTTGAGCACCCCTGGCTCTAAGCATCTGCTTGAGTTGTTGGTAATAATGATTTATCCAAATAGCCCTAAATTTACATATTTACCAAACTTCAATACATATCAGGGATTTTATGGCCTCTGGGATTAAATCTATTACATAGCCATGGTCAACATGTCACTACAAAGCCAAAAAGTGCAAAAGCATCCCAATTACCTTATATGCTGCCTAAGGAATGTCTTCTGCTCTTATGTAGGAGGGCCCCAGTTGGCTGACTTCAGTCTGCCAACACAGCCTCCAAATCTAAAGTCATACGACATTTCAACACAGAAAAATCCACAATAGTGCAGAAACTCTTCCTGGTACTCCCTTTGCTGTTTATTAGATTTCACATCTAGAAACCAGCAAGAAAAGGAAAATACTCATTTTCTAGCAGATGTCAGTTGCTTCTCACATACGCCTGAAGATGAGCCTGAAATGACTCAAAACTATATGTAACAGATCAAAGCCCATTAAAAAGAAATTCCCAGGCACTAATTTTATCTGTAATATTACTTGAAGTAGGCCATCACCTGAATGTTAAAGTTTTATGCTTGCGGCCGGGCGCAGTGGCTCACGCCTGTAATCCCAGCCCTTTGGGAGGCTGAGGCGGGCAGATCACGAGGTCAGGATTCGAGACCATCCTGGCTAACATGGTGAAACCCCGTCTCTACTAAAAATACAAAAAATTAGCCAGCGTGGCGGTGTGGCCTCTAGTCCCAGCTACTCGGGAGGTTGAGGCAGGAGAATGGCATGAACCCGGGAGACGGAGCTTGCAGTGAGCCGAAATTGTGCCACTGCATTCCAGCCTGGGCAACAGAGTGAGACTCCGTCTCAAAAAAAAAAAAAAAAAAAAAAAAATTTTATGCTTGCAGCAGACTTTGGCCTATTCTGTGTATTCCCACTTGTCAAAAATCAGCTTTTAAAAGTAAGCCAACAATTTATATAAACAACAGGAGCCTAGAGTATTTGGTTGGAATAAATTTATTTCATCTGTCTGTAAACAAGGTGTTTAATAGTTATGGCATTTTTTTAAATGCATATTAAATCAGATGAGTTAGACTGTATCCCAGATGTAACAAAGTGCAGGGAAAGAAATGGACAAATCAGCAACAAGATTTGTTTTTAAATCTGTACATTATCCACAAGGCCCAAACAATAGAAGCAAATACTAGAATGTCCCTAAAGTAGTGCCATTCGAAAGAAACCCTTAATAGGTCGGTTAAAATCCATCTCACAATAGCAACGGTTCATTTTAACAATAGTATGGCACAGAATACATATGAAAAAAATTCATCACAAGACAGCCAAGTCCACAATAATGCAACTTCATATAAAAACTCAAGCTGCAAATAAAAATTGGTCCTATGAAGAACAAACTGGACACACTCCAGATGGTTATGTTGGGATACCTAATGTCCATAATGGCAGCCTTTTACAATTTTACTAAAGAGTAGAGCTGGTGTGCAAAGAAAAAGACAGGAATAAAAATGTGAGCTATTGCAATGATGGAATGTCCCTGGGGAGTCAATCAGTATGGTTACTGTAAGGTCATGGGAGGAAGTGCTTTTTGCTCTTGTTTTGCCATTGCACTCTTCATATGTCCTGTAGACACTATGAATAAAGGTTTGTCTCAAGTGCAACAACAATACTAAAAGCAAACTACTGCAGCTCTCAATAGCTCATCAACAAAAGGGATATTAATTGGTTAAAAAAAACAGGCACTGCATAAAAAAAGATGGAAGCAAACCAAATGCCTATGTGCGAAGGGAGGTGGGGCGGGAAAAAGAGAAGAGTGAAGGAAAGATGCATGCACTTTTTCCTCCCAACCATGCGCTACAAAAGGAAGACTAAATGAGCCAAGTAAATGCTCAAAGTGCTGAAAAGACATTGATCAGAGATTGTACAACCGGCACCTTGCTTAATATTAACTTATTTTAGTAATCAATATCCCATTAATTGCTAAGACAAAGTGATGCCCAACTTGGCATGCCCCCTCCCCCCAATTTCAAGGTATCATGCAAATCATTATTGTGCTGCAATTATGTTGCCAGATAAGGGTTGGTTACATACAGTGGTTAACATACAAATGATCCATTGGGCAAACAGGAATCATGACATTAGAAAATAGGTAAAGAAAAATTAGCTACCATCTATAGTTTGGTAGCATTGTGACCATAATTAGGGTTGTTGATGAAGACAGTTGCTAGGTAGATGGGGAGAGGCTGCTTACACATCAGACCTCCTCAGGTATAAAGCGAGTTCATATGCTTTCTTGTTAAGTGTGCCTCCGTGGACACCTTCCTTTCCCATGACTATAACCAATGCTGGAGTACACAAGGAAACAAAACAAAAGTGAACAGAATTATTTGGGGGGGGGAGGGCAAAAGAAAGACGCCTTTCCCCACCAACAGAGGGATACAAAGGAGACACAGGTTCATACCCCATCACCCTGCATTGCTAATAAAATTTCCAGAATTCAGACTTAAGCTTACAGCTAGGAAAGTTTAAGAGCAATTTTCCCCTAATACTTAACAGTCTGCCTAGCAGCTAGAACCCAGAGTCTCTCAAGTATTTTGCCATTGAGTATGCCTTCTTATTCAATCCGCCTCCATGGACCCCTTCTTTTCCCATTACAAAGACCAAGACTGAAAGAGAAAGAAGAAAAGTGTTTCAAAAGAAGTGTTAATCAAGAAAGTCACATAAGTTTTAGCAGACAGAACCCCGATTAATAAGTTAACATTAAGTTAGTTTTCCATGAACTGCCAAGCACTGAAATCAAGTAGGTTTCCAAAAAGAACTTTCAAACTAGTAATATACTAAACAGAAAATAGTAAACTTGAATGCATCTTGGAAGCCCAATCAATGCAAGCAAAAGTTCTATACAACTATCTTTACACTAACTACAGGAAAAAAAAAAAAAAAAGATCATTTGTCTTCTATTTTAGGG